GAGGTCGAACATCTGCGCAAAGTGTTACACTTGAATATGCGCATTGTCATTAAAACTGGTCCAGTTTACTGAAAACTAGCAAGCAGTTGATGTTGCTCCTTGTCTTACACACATTCTACTTCAACCAAAATTACAATTAATGAGGACCTTCACAACTCTGCGCTGTTCGCCCAAAATTGTTATGGTCATTGAATCGAACATTGTTAGATGGCCGAACATGTCATGCGCATGAAAAAAGTAAGACATGAGTAAAAATTTTTATTGGAGAATCTCAAGAAAGAAGTTGTGAGGTTAATATTAAAATGGATCTGTAAGTGCATAAATATTTAGAGATAAACAGTTCAAGAAACCTGGGGCCGATTCTTTCAAATCTTATTTGTCCTATAAGTCAAGTTACGATTCTTTGCTGCAATAATTATATGTAATAAAAATTAAGACTTGCATTCAAGGACGTTTAAAAGATCTCAGTTTTAAAGCCACGCCATCGCTCAGGTGGTTAATCGGACGCTTCTCAGTGTGAAGGCCCGAGGTCAAGCCCTGTAATGTTCACGTGGGATTTGTGGCTAAGGGTGTGGCACTGGAATGGGTTATTCTAGTAGTACTGCAATTTTCTCATACTGGTTAGCGTTCCACGAATTCTCCATTCCCATCTATCATCAGGGGCTAGTACGTAGGCTAATCTGAGCCCGCAGCATCCAGGAACATCCCCCCCCCTCTCTCTCTCTCGCTCTCTGTCACCCTATTCCTCAGTTACACAATCCAAAAACAGTGCACGTGCTTAACCATAGACGATTCGCCTTCACTACAGTACGTTGGAAAGTAATCGACTGAGTTCGCTAAACCATCGTTGATCACTGATAGCACTGGCCAACAATCTTTTTCTTTCCCTGGTTGATATTTGGTGGCCTTTATAAATTTTGAGCCACTCATTCCAAATCTAATAACAAGAATTCTATCGCATATAGAGTTCTATTTCTATCTATCGCTGTATAGCCCTTCTGGGCCTTGCCTCTTTTTCGATTTCTTAATCTATATACGGGAGGAGCTATGTCAAGGAAATAGTGGCTCCGGTCTAGAAACCCGAAATTATCGTTGCGCTGACCACGCGACACCCTCTACCCGCTAAAGTTGGCATTAAACTTCGCCGACAAGCGGCGGTCGCTCGGTTGGTATAGTTCTCTTGCGGACTAAAATCAAGTAGTTTTTTGTTTGTAATCTATATACGGTCGGTAGGACTCCTTGGATGGGGAATCAACCCGTCGCAATACCTCTATCTACACACAGAACAACACAAACAGAATAAACACGCACAAACAACCATTCATCAAGTGGGATTCGAACCCACGATCCAAGTGTTTGAGCTGGCCAAGACAGTTCATGCCTTATAGCGCGCGGCCACTCTGATCGGCCATAGAGTTTTCTAGACGTAAGCAAATACAGTTCCTACATGAAATGAAACATAACCCAGTACAAAGTTCTTTCTAGTTTTATTTAGTATAACGCTATGTAATAGAAATGTAAAATATACATTTACATTTAATATGTTCAGAAATCTGTTTCAACTTCATTTCCGCTTGTATACAATACATCTGGAAGTTCTCTTTTAAGTTCGCCCATCAGAATCACATTCTGGTAGCGTTTCTCCATGGTAGACGCAACCTTTCACCATACTTGTCGCTGGTATCTCCAAGGTTTATTGGAAAGAAATCCAAGTGAAAAGAAGGAAGTGTAACATATTGAGCCCTATTATTCTGCAGGCTTCAAACACTTCCTCCATCTGTGTAACTGCGCGCTTCGTATCAGTCAGCATCGAATCTGAATGTTTCTCAGTTCCTTCTATGGACTGATTAAAATACCTGTCATTTGTAGCCTCCTCTACCAGAGGACCAACAAGATCACTTCTTTTATCTTTCCGTCGCTAATCCAAGGAATTAATTTTTTTTATTCGCATAGTGGGGGGGGGGGAAGTGGAGTCCAGCTGGGTCCAATCGGCACGTCGGCCACTGATTGGCCTATTGTACCCGCCCCAGGTGATTATGATGATGGAGAATTTGGTGGAATGAAGATTGGCAAAGGAAACGGAAGTACTCGGAGAAAACCTGCCCCTGCCCCAGCCCCCATTTTGTCCACCACAAATCCAACTTGACCAGACCCGGGCTCAAACCCGTGCCGCCGCGGTGGGAAGTCAGCAACCAACCGCCTGAGCTATGGCGCGGCAACTTTTGTATCAGATATCGGAAACATTTTGCAGTCTTTTTCATGGCATTCGCAAAGTAATCTGTACAAGCTTGATGTGGAAAAAGAAATGTTTTCTGTGGATCTACAAGTAAATCGTTTACCATGTTATTTTGCTCCGAGAGAAACTCCTTACGACGAGGCCATTCCCTCACAGCGTAATGGCAACTCTTGCGCTGCTGTCTCATTCACATAAGAAGCATCAAAATTGCGTATAACCAAGCTGCGTTCCGAGTAGAATAACTGCCACTTTCAAATCACAGATACTTTAACAGAACGCGTTGCATTATGGAGCCGGAATAGGGCAATTGGTATAGCGACTGATTACGGGTTGGACAGCCGCGGGTTCGGAGTTCAAGTCCCGGTAGGGGTAAAATTTGTCTCCTCTCCACGTCGTCCCGACCGGTTCTGGGGCTCACCCAACCTACTGTACAATATGTACGGGATGTAAGCCGGCCGGGGCGTGAAACTGACCACTAACCTCCAACTAGTACCGAGGTCAAGAATACGTGGATTTATTCATCCACTCCCCCATACATCTTCATGTATGTATGTAGGTAGGTAGATGGACTTTCTCACTAGATGAAGATGATGTAATAGGAAGTGTCATTTACACATTGTTTTCTTGCAAAGGAGATTGCTCGTTAGCTAGACATGTAATTTTAACAGAGAAACAAAAGACGTGTGTAGAATTTTTGTGCCGATCTGTGCGAAGGCGTCACTGAAACGGAGATAAATTAATAATGGTGAAATATATTTTAAAGCAATTAGGATACAGAAACTTAGGTTAGATTAAAGTGGCCTGCTGAGATTGACATTGACCCATGTACGTCTACCACTAATATTCTTAAGAGCAATGCTTTGTGTTTCTATTTAGACAGTTATCAAGGTCCCGTTGTGGATTTCCGTGTGCGCATTCTCTACAGTAGCATGACGTCACGGTGCTTTCACGCCAACTCAGCTAATTCATCATGCACCATAATTAATGCACATAAATTACAGTCGGCTTTGTTGTTATTTTACAAGGACTGTAATATCATCGTGTAAACATGGAACCATTGTGCCTCGGTCATTAAGCTGCTTGCACACGGAGCTGAACTGCAAGAGTTCGATAGCTGGCAGCATCTCGGCGATTTCTCTCTTCGCCATCGCTGTCTGCCGCACCCAGCCTCCTGTCAAGTGTGCCCAGATTCCAAATGATCACTCACTTAAATAAGACTATAGGCCGCGCCATAGCTCAAGCGGTTAGTCCCTGGCTTCCCATCGCGGCGGCCCGGGTTCGATCAAGTGGGATTTTGTGGTGGACAAAGTAGCCCTGGGGCAGGTTTTCTTCGAGTACTTCGGTTTCCCCTGCCAATCTTCATTCCACCTGTTGCTCCACAATCACCCTCACCTGTCATCTGGGGCTAGTACAATAGGCCAGAAGTGGCCGCAATGCAAGGGACTTAGTCCCACCGCACTAAGTAAAAAAAAAAAAGTAAAGCTATCCCTGTAACAGGCCGTGAAGGCCCATAGGGTTGTGAGACGTTGAGGGTCCCACATTACCTTGACAATCGGCTCAAAGATGGCCGTAAGGTTGTCAGCCTTACGCGCTTCCCGCGCTTTACTCCCCAGGAAAATTATTTAGTTAATTTCTGGTACTCATTTCTGTTGTGAACGGAGAAGTTCGTGGAGGTAGTCCTAGGCCCATTGGGGCTGTAGTGCCAAGGAAAAAAACTAATTTCTGTTAGAGGCTGAGTCGACCCCAGGGCCATAGTGCGACTGGAAGGATTAGGTCAACTGAAAAAAAAATCCAATGACCTCATCAAGACTTGAACCCGCGACCTTCCGGCTTGTAGCATAGCCCCTCAACCAACTACGCCACCGCTTGCCCCAGTCCCACCCCACTAGCAATAAAAGAAAATAAATAAGACTACCAAAAGGAGTCCCGGGATTTGAAGCACCTGTAACTGAGGAACGGGAACAGCTATGAGACTACTGTTTGCAGTATTTTGTTCATCACTTGAAACAGTTTATTACTCACAAGTGGAAAAATTGTTAGGTGCGAAGTACTTCACAATGAGCGTCATCTGTAGCTCTGTATATATCCCATCTGCAGTTCGCCTCTTCCCAGACGCGCTGCAACATGTCTTGTATTTGCATTGTATTCATTGCGTGTAGTGTGTGTAGTTTTGTTTGAGCGTGGTGTGTTATTTTGTGTGATGTGTGTTATTTATGTGTCATGTTTTATTGTAATACCACTGCTAAAAACCCCCGTTTGCAGTTAAAATAACTAATAATAAAAAAATGCGCGTCTTTAGTCCGCAAGCGAACTATAACGACCGAACGACCGCCGCTTGTCGTGTGAAGTCAGTGCCAACTTTAGCGGATAGAGGTGTCGCGTGGTCAGCGCAACGAATCCACACATCCGTTAATTTCGGTTTTCTAGACCGGAGCCGCAATTTCCTTGAAATAGCTCCTCATTTTTCCTCGCGAGACGGAGTGGACCCCGTTCCAGACCCCCTACTTCTCAGAAAATCTAGTAGCGCCGGGAATTCTTTTACTTCAAGACACGTATATGACTAGAATTGAAGACGCTGTGGGTAATAAATCCGGTCTTGAAGACCAAAATTAACGAACGTGTGGATTCGTTGCGCTGACCACGCGACACCTCTATCCGCTAAAGTTGGCACTAACTTCGTCGACAAGCGGCGGTCGCTCGGTCGGTATATATCGCTTGCGGACTACAGGCCACGGAGTTTTTTATGGGTAATAAATGAATTCTCGGTTGTACAAAACCGTTTATTTGGAAGCCTCCTTAAAATACAGGCACAGTACTCGTTGGGTCTGAAAGAATATTTGATTTGCCTTAACAAACATACAGCTGCATTCACTCACCCACTCAACGCTTCTAGGAATTAATTTAAAATTAAAATATAATAATAGAAGGCAGATCATGCTGCTGTGTTGCTGTGTTTGAATATGAATATATTACATATCAAAGATAATCATCACTCTTCTGGAATCCCTTGTGCTTCATATGGACATCATGATACTTTTGTATTTGTGGATGATGGGTTGCTGACTCGTAAAATATCTATATATGATGCCTAACTACATCTGATAGAGATGAGGAAGATTAAAACATCTTCATGGATTTAGGTAAATCTTTAAACTAATGTCAGCTGTCAGCCTGGCAACATCCGCGTGAAACTCGTCCTGCGCAGACACTCGAATGAGTGAGAGGAGAAGCCAAACAGTAGCCGTTTATGAGCTGGCTGATTCTGCCACATTGACACCTTCTTCTTTGTTTTCTGGTTGCTTCTCATCTGCTGCCGGTTCTGGTTTCTTCTCAGGAGTCTCAGCCTCTATCGTTGCGGCAACTTGTCCGTCTAGTTTCTCGACAACGGGCTCAGAAGAAACTTCATCGCTGGACACTTCCTTTTTCTCTTCAGCTACGGGTGCTTCTTCAGTCTTTTTTTCTTCTACTTGAACTGCTTCATCAGACGTCTTTTCAGCGTCCTTTTCCACCGCTTCCGGCACGATCTTCGTTTCTTGTGGTGTGTTTTCGACTTTTTCAATGTTTTCCTCCTCAACTTTGGGCAATTCGATTTTCTTTTCTCCGCTTGCTTCCACGTTCTTGATCTCGTCGACTTGAGCGGGATTTTGTGAGCTATCAGAGTTGACCTCAGGGACTGCAGATGGGCCAGCCTCGGGGTTCACCGGCACTTCTGGTTTCGCTTCAGGGATGTCTTCGGTCGGCTTCGGAAGTTCGACGGGTTTCACTTCGGACGCAGCCTGCTCCGGTTTTGGGTCTTCAAGCGTAGAGGGTCTAGTTTCTTGAACCTTGACCTCCTCTAAGTTGACTTCTACGTTCCTCACGGGAATGTCATCGGCTTTCGCCTTCTTCTCGTCTTTCTCCTTCTTTGTCACTTCAGTAGGTTTTTTCTTTTCCTCCTCTTTGCCATCTGTCCCACGTCGCCTTCGATTTATAACAGGGCTTTCCTGTGCCGCGTCCTTCGCTGGCTCTTCTGCCGCTACAGGCTTATTGGCTTCCTCAACAGCACTTTGTTCCTCTGCGTTCTCCAGGGGTTTTTCTTCCGCTGGATCAGTGACAGCGGCCGGCAGTTCGGATTCAGCTGGCTTCGCCTCGGACTTCACGTTCTTCTCATCGGCCTGTTGCTCTTCCTTGGCCTCCTCTGCAGGTTTAATGTCGGAAGGCTCGCTTTCTTCAGCTTTCTCACTAATCTTGGGAGCATTCAGAGCGACAGGCGCAATTGGATTGACCTCATCAGACACTTTCGCGTCTTCTGGTTTCACTGCAGGTGCATCTTGCGAACTGCTCGTCTCAACTGCGCTCGTTTGTATAGGTTCTTCCTTCTTGTCTGACACCGCATCTGATTCTGCTGCAGGAACCTTTTCCTCTTGCAAAGGGACTTCTGCAGGCTTGGGGTCGTTGTTTACAGCCTCTTGGTTGTCTGCGGCTATTGGTGACACCTTTTCGACGATAGCGTCGTTGGCTGGCTTCGTATCATCGGTCGCAGGTGCCGGTGCTGATGTCGGTGCCGCTTCCGGTTTGTTCTCTGGCGCCGCCGGATTCTCTTCAGGCTTTGATTCCTCGGCTGCAGGTGACGACTCTTTGGGGACGTCCTGTGGGTTGTCTTCAGGGTTGTTCTTGCTGGCAACTGAGGAATAGTCTGTGATGACGAGTGGCACCACGGGCCGAGGATGGTCTTGCTCTACTCCAACCGGCATGGCCAGGGTGCAGCCCACGAGGGCTAGTGTCAGGACAAGCACCTTCATACTGTAACAGACAAGAAGAGAAATTGAGAACCTGAGTCTAAATAATTTCGCCACGAAAACGCAGAGGTAAAGCGACCTCGGCACTAAGAATGAGATATTATTTTCACATTTCAGCCGGTGTACCGCTGGAGAAATATCCTCTAGTAACCACTCGACATGAGGCTGGATGTCATAGCGACAAGAGTAAACCCTCCTTGCTGGTAATAGACTCTTAGCCGGGTGCCTTATAACAGTCACTTAAAAACTGCTATCCAAGCTCCAGTAGTCATTTTAGCCCACTTCCCTAAAGTAGGCTTATGCGATCTCCGTCATATGTGTCTCTAGAACCCCCCATATCAACTTGTGATTGTATGAACCAGTTTTTATACAACTTGTTATGTGTATCATGGCGACTGATTGCAACTCAACGGTGTACTTCTTAGTTCCCTCCCATCGTTACGAGGCAAGAGCTCGGTTAAATGTATCCCTTCATTTGGTGCTAAGCAACGGTTCTGTAAACACCTTCACGCAGCAACGAATACACACTAAAATGGAATAATTGTTGGACGCATGCTACAAGTCGGAAGGTCGCGGGTTCAAGTCCCGATGAGGTCATTGTTTTTTATTCACTTGACCGAATCCTTCCAGCCCCACTATGACCCTGGGGTTCATTCAGCCTCTAACAGAAATGAGTACCAGGAGTTAATTAAATAATTTTCCTGGGGAGTAATCCGCGGCGGGTGCGTAAGGTTGACAACCTAACCGCCACCTTTGAGCCGATTGTCTAGATAATGTGGGAACCTCAACGTCTCACAACCCTATGGGCCTTCACGGCCTTGTACAGGGATAGCTTTACTTTACTGCTTTCCGTGTCTTGTCAAAGGAGACTCTTTGGTCCTGTCTTTGTATCCTCCTATCGTTGCTAGGTAACAAATCGGTAAACACGTTCCCGCGACAACGAATACACGCTAAAGTAGAATATTTATTGGACGCATAGTTTTCTGTGCGGTCCGCCTTACAAAAGGAGAGTCTGTAGGCCTGTGTATCCTCCTATCGTTGCTATGTAACAGATCGGTAAAGACGTTCACGCGGCAACGAAGATTTGTTAGAGGCATCGTTTTCTACGCGGTCCATGTCATATGAAGGGGAAATAGGCGCTTAGTTCCCAGAACTTCTCGTTCAACAGACAAGGTAGGCATCCTGTGATAATATCTCTCTGTAATAACACGTATCATTAAAGCTAAATGCAAATTTCAAGTGACATCTGTAAGATTTTAGGTTTTCACTGCGTTTGAGATTCGCGTTGTGAGGTTCTGGGCTGGAACAATATGCTGCTTCCATTTTACAACCTGGTGTCTGGGCATGCGCACAAAGATGTCTTCGCGGTTCAGGATCTCGACGGTGCAGAACAGCCGCTTATTATTTGGAACCTTCCTGCCAATATTAATGTTTCTAAAAGCGCTGTTGATGTTGCTGCTTCTCTCGGTGTGCTTTGCTTCCTTCTATACTAAACAGTTGTGGACTTTCTCCTAGCTATGTTAATTGGTTTCATAGCTACTTGACCAATAGACGCGCCTCTGTTCGTCTCTTTAGTATCCTTTCTTCTTCTTATAGTGTGAAGTCTGGTGTTGCACAAACATCCACTTTGGGAACGTTGATATTTTACGTTTTCAGTAATGATATTTATGCATTCATTCATAGTTCAGACTATCCCTTGTTTGCCGATGTTCTTAGGAGGTATCGTGGTGTCACGAATATTGATGATTCGACGCTTTTGTAGTGTGATGTAGACACTGTTTACACTTAATGTTTGGATAATGATATGAAACTAAAAACTGGAAAAACAAACAAAAAAGAAAACTCCGTGGCTTTAGTCCTCAAGCGAACTACACCGACCGAGCGACCATCACTTGTTGGCGAAGTTAGTGCCAACTTGATAGATTGTGTCACATGTTCAGCACAACGAATCCCCACGGCCGTTAATTTCGGTTTTCTAGACCGGAGCCGCCATTTCCTTGAAATAGCTTCTCGGTTATCCTCACGAGGCTGAGTGGACCCCGTTACAGACCCGCTACTTCTCAGCAAATGTGGTAGCGCCTGAAATCGAACCCGGACCTCTTTATCTGTAGCCAGGAACTCTGGCCAGTGTGCTGAAGATACTGGAACATTGTTACACTGCAAGCTTTGCTTTCACCGCCATTTTCATTAATTTGTTTCACAGTGCTTAAAAATGTAAGGTTTGATCCGTTATACTGCATTTTCCTTTTCTTTTATCGATAGTGTTGTATGAAGCTGTAGTGTGATCTAAACTCCATCACATTGACTGGCCCTAAACTGGAAAGAATTCAAAGACAATTTGCAGCGTTTTGTTATAACAGATTTCCTGTTGGCACTTATAAGATAATAGGTAAAGTAATAAGTAAAAGTAAACTACGCCATGAAGACGTATGGGGAGTGAAGGTATATCTCCACCATTCTGGACCTCGGCTACAGATGGAAGTAAGTGGTCAGCTTCACGCCCCGGCCGTTTTACCCCCGGGGAATGAGTCCCCAATACCGATTGAATAAGAGGTTGGGTGGACTCCAGAGCCGGTCTGGACAACGTGGAGAAAGGAAAATTCTCAGCCCTACCGGGACTCGAACTCTGACCTCTAGGTCGCCCAGCCCGTAGCTAGTCGCTATACCGACTACTCTATCCCGGCTCATAGTAAGCATGTAAATAAATAAAGAATTGCATTATTATTAGTATTATTATGTTGATATGATTTTTTTACGTATATATTCGTGTTTCTGCTCGGAACATACGTAGCTTTGCCATGTTCAGTTGCTCCTCCAGCCACTGTCCTTCAGAGAAACGAGTTTCTGCTGCTAATGCAGTTTATAAATCTACCTCGGTAGTGTAATTGGTTGAGGCACTATGCTGCAAGCCGGAAGGTCGCAGGTTCAAGTCCCAATGAGGTTACTGGCTTTTTTCAATTTACCTAATCCTTCAAGGGGCACTATGGCCCTGGAGTCGACTCAGCCTTTAATAGAAATGAGTACCAGGAATAGTCTTGGAATATTCTTGAGGGTAAAGGGCGCCTGGCGCGTAAGACTGACAACCTTACCGCCATCTATGTGCCGATTTTCTAGAGAAAATGTGGGAACCTCGGCGTCTCACAACCCTATGGGCCTTCACGGCATGTTACAGCGATACCTTTACTGTTTTACCTTTTACCTACATATTTAGAAACTCGCTTTTAAATGTAAACATCATTAACTGGTCAATTTTTCTGTTTTTCTCCCTTTTGTTCGTCTTATTCATGTTGTTTGTATTCGTGCTGACTCTGTAATTGGCCATTGGCTGTTAAGCTTAGCACGTAAATTATTAAAGAACTGAATTGAATTATTAAACGGCAAACTTTCAGCTAAATGGGTAAACCATTGGACGCTTTCGTAATCTTGTAGAAGAAATGTGGCTGCCTTAGAGCTTAGTGGTAGAGGCAACTGCCCATAAAACCTGTAGTCTGTCGTTATTATAATACTGGACATCCAGCCTGTTTCATGGCCACCGAGTTGCGTCGCTTGTTGGGTGTGCCCACACACACCACACACCAGTAACTCGACATTTTCATTAACTTTTCTCTTCACACTGAAATAATTTCTCGTGCAACGCAAAACAAGGTAGAGTCGTACACGCGCATGTTTGGTAGCCAACATGTTATTACACTTGTACGTCAGAGTACTGTATAATACAGTCTCACAAATAAAATAGATGCTGCCAACCGAACAACATGATTACGAAGTGCGTAGTTGCAACTAATGTGTCTACTGTTTTATATTTACCACTTCATAACGAGATTCATAACTTATTTTGGTCCTTATTTACGACACTTTCAGTTACTACGATTAGCGTCGAATTATACAATTGTTGATGAATAATGAATTCAAAAGAATGTGGAAGGAAAGTGTCGTTACCTAATAAAAGGTGTCATTCCAGGATTTGCATAGAGGGACTGAGAAAGTCAGGAGAATCTCAGACATGATGGCCTGTTTCAGGGCCATGATTTCAACCCAACATCTCCGGAGGACGGCCACGAGACTCTTGATAGAGATGCTCTACTCCAGATGCAGTCTCTTTTTTCGTTTCGGAGGGGGCCGAACCCTCCATGTCCTGACACTCATTTTTCAAATACTGACGGAAGATCCGGCTATTCCCTTCACTATCCAGCATGATGGTGTTCCCGAAGAACCTGCCGGATGTAGTCACTCCTTTTAAGTATTGATTCTTTATGCCGTTGTGGCATTCCGGTTTCGCACGCCGTCTCTTGCTGAACGTGTATCCTTTCTGGGCTTTTGGTACCGCCTTTAACTTGCCTTGTCCCTTACGCCGTGCAGGCAGCGGCCAACTTCTTCTGGGACCCACCATTGCCCTCAGTCTGTTTCTCCTGCTTTCGGCGATGCCGGTCCCCATAGCGCTCCCTCAATGCTCGGAAAGTTTCCACTACTGCCTCTTCCTTAGGGACATCCTGATGCTCCGACTCGGACTCTCTTTCTTCCGTGGCCCCCTTCTTTTCTAGACAGGCCTCCATTTTCTCTAGCTGGAAGTGCATCCTGGCCATCATCTTCCCTTGGTTCGCTGCCATCCTTCCTTGATTGGTTTGCCTCTTCACCAGCATTTATTCTTGCAGGTGTTCTTGGCCGGCTATCGTTTGCTCTCGAGTGGGTCTTGTTTCAGCCAGCAGGCGTTCTGTCACTTGTGTCACTTCCATAGTTGGCCGCGCCATAGCTCAAGCGGTTAGTCGCTGGCTTCCCACCGCGGCGGCACGGGTTCAAGTGGCATTTGTGGTGGACAAAATGGCGCTGGGGTAGGTTTTCTCCAGGTACTTCGGTTTCCCCTGCCAATCTTCATTCCACCAAATTATCCATCATCATAATCACTCGGGGCAGGTGCAATAGCCCAATCAGTGGCCGCCGAGTGGACCCAACTGGACTCCCCTCCCCCCACTATGCGAATGGCGATATAGTTTCTTACTGCGGTCT